AGGCGGCCACTGTGGGGTTCTCCCCTTCTGCCCAGGACCCTGGAGTCCTTAGGGGGAACCCCTGCCCCAGATCCTGGGACTCCTCAAATCTTTGGGCGGGGACTGCGCTTCGGCGGAAGAGCTAGGAAGTCACCCCGTGGCTGAGTGCAAGGTTATTAATAGCAACAACAACAATAATAATAACGCCATCATCGTCAGCTGACTAGTTGTGAAAGTCAGGAGCGAGGGCGTTCCACGCTTGCTGAGCTCGCATAATTAGGAGCCCCTTTAATGAATATTGTTACGTTTCAGGAGATTTCATACACACACACACACACACAAAGGACATTTTTTAATGGTATGGCAGCATATACATCATGAAGTATTTGAGATTACTAATAAACACAGAAAGTAGTCTGTGTACTTAAGAGTTCGGCCGCCGGCCCACCCAGTCGAAAGCTCTCGCGCACGTGGGGCCCAAGGGGTGTCCTCTCCCCAGGATCCATGGGCAGCTCAAAGGCGGCCTTTTGATGACCACCCTTTTTTATTTCGAAGCCTAGAAATAGATGATTTCGCTCTTCGCCCCAGATGGGACAGAGGCTCTGCAGAACACATGTATGGCGCCATTGGTGTGTGTGTGTGTGTGTGTGTGTGTGTGTGTGTGTGTGTGTGTGACACAGCAGGGGGACCAGCCTCCCAGAGACTGATTTCTACTTTGTTGGGCGATCTGGGCCTTGGAATTAGCTCCTCGTGGCCCTGCGTGAGTGGCTATTAACCTCCCAGAGCGCAGCGGTTACGCCTGGCCTGGCAGGCTGTAGTTTTCGGCGGAGCCGGGACCCTCCCAGGGGCTGCGTGGACAGGGCAGAAAATGTGCAGGTCGGTTATTAAACAGCAGGCGACAGAATGACTTTTGAGCGGAGCCAAGCGAGCGAACCTGCATCCCTGCGCGACCTCCCGGGCCGGCGCTGGGATTTGCATATAGAGTGTCTGGGTGTTTGTTTTGCTCGCCATCATCCTGGGCACACCTGTACCTTGCCGGTCTGAGCGCCCTGGTCGATTTGCTCTATTCACGCAGGGGAAACCTACGAACAAACGCAGGAGCCTTCGTGGTGTTCAGACCACGAAGCCTCCGTGGGGCTTCCCTCCCTTTGGGGACTCAAACGCGTGGTGCGTCCACGCGCGGCCTTGGCCGTTCTGCTTTTATCGCCAGGCCCTGGGGCCAGCGTGTGGGTTGTGCCTGACTTATCTAACCTCCTCTCTTGGCAGAGGTGGGAGCAGCCTGACCAAGCCGGGACCGCGGAGCAGGCTAGGCCCTCAAGGTCCTGCCTATTTCGGGCACTTAGGGCTCCGGTGGCTCTTCCTGGTCGGGGGCTCCCACGCCTGAGCCTAGAGGAGGTGGAAAGGCCTGGGGACTTCACTCTAACCGAGCTAGGACACAACCAGACCCCAAAGTGGGGAGGAGCTCAGCAAGGAGGTGTGTATGAGTGGGGTGGGGCGTGTCAACCCTTTGCCAGCAGACTGGTCTTTAAAAAGGAGCCTCCCTCTTGGATTTAGGAAGGCAGCTTCCTGCAGGGCTGCAGTGGGGAGGGGGGGGGGCGGCAGAGGAGCAGGGCTCCACCGTGGTGGGGTGGGGACCCTTCAGAGGAGGTCTGTGATGCAGACTCTCCAAAGTCTCAGAAGCAAAAGAGAGAGAACCAGCCATGTGGACTTCCCAAAGGAAGCCAGATTCTGTCCCTCTTCTCCCTTGAAGAGAGCAGGCTTTTCTGGCTTCGCAGTGGCTGGGGGGAGTAGCCGGCCTGCGGAGGGAGGGGCAGCAGACGCAGAGTGGGGGGGTGAGGCGGGGTTTACAAGCAAAGTGTGTAGCTGATACATAGAAAGATGCCATAAACAAGAATCTCAGTGTTTCAAGGGATTTGAGGCTCAACCAGTTCCTACCAGAGACAAAAAAGAAAACAGGCTCACCGAGGTACTGTAAGCCTAGTGGCTGCTTGATCTCCTCTGGAATCAGGGAAGTCATTACCCACAAAGCTGTGCTTTGTCCCTGCATTAGATACCAGTGGTATTCTTTGAGAGAAAAAATTTGGAAAAACAAAAATGTTTCTATAGTCTTGCTGTATTACCTGCTTATTAACAAGAAAGGCCAGGTGTTTATGTCTTCTTTTAATGAGGCAAATAGGTTAGAAAGGTGGATCAGGTGTTTGTTGTGGTTTTGAATCCAGTAGTGGTTTTTAAATCTAGTTATCCTCCAAACTGTGCAAAGGTGGGAGGGGTGAGGCAGAGAAGATGCTGGACTGTGTCATGTGACATTGCCACCAGGGATGGTGAAACTGCAGTCCTTCCTGACTTGGAGCCTTGAGGACTCTGGTGTCCCTACAGAGCAATCCCACTGCTCAGGCGCCATATGTCTGTGCAACAATTCTCATGGAGCCTATCTACCACCTCCATTGGTGCCTGCCCTGAGGGAGGCCCTTCGGGTCCTTCTGCAGAGCGGTCTACTAGCGGGCATCCCACCAACTCTCCTGAAAGACTGCCTTTAGCAACAGATGCTCTTTGCTTAACTCTTTTACTAGGAGAAGAAAACTTGATTTGTAAGGCCCCAAAGTTTGGAAATATTGACCTGTGGTGAGCAGGGTGCACATGGGGTAGCAAGCTCAGGGTGGGGGTGGATCACCAGCTCACAGATCCTAAACAATACTTCCCCTCAGATGACTCCTGGAGGCCCAGGAACCTCCAGGGGGTCCAGGGCACCTATCCCTAAAGGGCAAACCTGACCCCTTCCCCGGCAGCCTACTGCTACTGGGGTTGTTTTACAATGTCCTTCACTTTTCTGGTAACAACCACAGCAGCATGTAAACAAAAGGGGGAAAAGTGACTTTCAAAAGGAGAGCCCCTTTGTCTAAGTTGGGGTGGGATTTGCTCACCACAGGGGAGAAGCAAGGGCCACCTTCCATCACAGGAACTGAGCCAGTGAGAAGGGGGCGGGGTGTGGAGAAAGAAAGACCTGTTAGACCCTCCTAAGAGGGTTTAAAAAACATACTTCCTGGAACAGCACCCCCTTTGGAACACTTCCTCCTGGGAAGGAGCAGTGCACCTAAATTACTCTGGTTGTTCCAAGCTGACATAGGGAATAGCCAAAGTGCCTGCATGACAAAAAAACAACCAACCAATTACACTTCTAGTGACAAAAGCAGACACCCATGCTCAGGCTTGAGCAAAGGGGGGGAGTCTTATCCCCTAGTAGTGGGGGGCGGCGGAGGGGGGAGAGGAGGCAGGCCTTTGAGAAACTAGTCATTTCACCTTGGGCATCAAGGATTTTATAATAAAGTGTTTTATTATTATTATTGAATGTAATTTTCAAGAATTGAAACACACAAAAAATGCAGTGGGAATGTTCACAATCTTTGATAACCACAGTTGTAAATAGAAACATTCATTTCTCATAAGATTATAAATATTTGATACTGTAAAATGCACATGTTTTGTAAACTGAAAAAAAGCTGGTCCCTACTAAAAGAAAAACAAAACAAAACAAAAAAACACCCAGCATGTCGTCTCAACCCGCTTCCTAAGCAGCAGATGGTTATTCACAGAATTTTAAGTTACAACTTTTATTTTTATAGTTCGCTTTGGGGAAAAAAAGAATTTCACTATTATGTACAGAGTGGAACGATTAGGGCAGTGAAATAAAGAAGTTTAAGGCAAAGAGATAAGTTCACCCTCTGAATGTCCTTGGGGAGACAGCCAAACTCAGGGCCAGCCTGGCAGTACAACACCCCTTAGCAGGCTCCCCCACAGCTCACATTTGGGCGCCATTCTTTTCTGGTATGTGAAACAGAGACGGTCAGTGTAGAATTATATATATATATATATATATATATATATAT